CATGCACACAGACACACATTTACAGTGTCCCAGTTCCCTCGGCGCCAGTAAGTCAGACAACTAAGGTATAAATAGTCTGCTGGCTAAAGTTCCCCCTGAGAGAGGTGGACCAACACGGTTTTGTAAACTGTGTTTGCAAACTTCAGCTGTGAGCATTTTTAAAGTTGTTTTTTTTTAACATTCTCCATGTGTTGGGCATTCATAAACAAGGCATAGGTGAATATAATCTGAAGTTACAGAAAAAAAAAGGTCTAGAAGAAATTTCTAAGAAATACATTTTTAATAGCAGTATAATACAACATACAACCACCCCCCCAAAAAACCAGCTTGTCGTCAGATGATGGTTTTTGGCATTTTGTAAATCCATCTAGTCATTTTCATAAATGCTCCCAGCTGTAAAGGGAGAGGTTATACTTCAGAGAGGTCGTCAGTCCATCAGGAAACCCACACACTCACTGGAAGAACATGTAAACTCTGTACAGAAAACTCAGAACCTTCAGCTCTGCTTCTGGATGCACTGATGATAAGTTGAAAGAAAAGTAAAATTGTTGACTGAATTACACAAGACAGTAAAAATGTTGACAGTCAGTGATGTCAAAAGCAAAATTGTAGACAATGAGTCCAAAACTAACATGTGCATATAATATGTATATAAGCATTTTTGACTATAAATGCAGTTAATTTCCCATGATGCCACCCCTCCAGGCCCTTTATTTCTAAGGCAGCACATCAGCACAATGGCTAAACAATGGTGCTACCTACTGGCTAAATACAGGTAATGCAACCATTTATGCTTATAACTACTTTGTACATGAATCCGTCCTCCGTTACTATGTCATACTACTACGTCTGCTGCTTCTAAATTGTTATGAGGTCTTGGCTGCAGAACATGTTTAACACTATGTATTCAAAAGCACGTAGCCTCTTCCTCAGTGATAACAACTTAATGACACGTGGCACTTTAAGTTGTGAGGTCCACAGTTAAGTTGTGATGGATATTTGGTTGGCAGAATTATTACCTATCCGAAAGATTCCAAAAACAGGATACAGCTTGCACCTGTTACTTAAAGGAAAGCCAAGCAGATAATACAGAAGAGCTTTTAATGTTGATGGGTTCTCAGTGAAGGTACATCCTGTGAAGGAGTACATCAGGGTTCTGGTATCCACGTCATAGAACGAGACCTCTCCTTTCTCGTAATCGACAAACACACCAACTGTTTTGGGTGTCTGCCTCACATGCGAGAGAAGAATCTCGGAATCACAAGCAAAATATTGCACATGCCATCCAGTGTACCGTGCGCTTAAAGTCCAGGCTCCATCTTTGGGGGTGGGAGGAAAACCCATGTGCTTGTTCACAGACTCTTTGACCACTCCCAAAGTCCAGACTTTACTCTTGCTGACACAAACCTCATAGTAGAATCTGCCTGAGGAGAATCCTTCAGTAGCAAGGACATAGGGTTGATTTAAAAATGGTCGCTCAAAAACACGAGAGTAAGGCCGTAAACGTATATTAAGTGTTAGTTTTTTGCCACCCTCGTACACCTTGAGTATTGGATGGGCTACATGGGAATCAAAAGTTAGAGTCATCGAATTGCACAGCTGGATCATCATTAGCTTGTCCCGAGGTGGTCTCCACTCCTCTTCAAAATCATATCCTCTTGATATCCCGTCTCCTTCAATAAAATCGTCTCTCATTAGTGGTTCTGCTGTAGCAGCCTGTTCAGCAGCATCACAGCCATCAGACGAATTGAGCTGATGAACAAGCATGCCCACTTCTTTACTGAGTATCTTTTCTATCTGAGCACTGTACTTCTTCACCATCCCCAAATATATCTGCT